CTCTAGAAAAAGATTGTAAAAGAAATCCATATGAATCTCGCATCAAGAAAGCACATTTGAGCCTCCGTTTACCATATTCAGTGTGCTCTATGTATTGTGCACTGATCAATGTTTATATATAAATAAAAGCTGAAATTAAACATGTTCATCATATAAAACAATTCTCTTCAGAAAACTTGGATTAAACTGCTCAATTAATATAGATTTATTTTATGATCTTTTTTGAATTTTTTTTAAAGCAGTTGAGCTGATTACAGATTCAATGTTCACTTTCGATAGTAAACATAAGAAAATATCGAAAATGCCTGGTGAAATAGAAACTAAGGAACTGAAATTGTAGTTGCCTGTTGTTTGCCGGTTAGCACAAAATGAAGATGATTATGGAATTGGAGTGAACATGAAAGAAATACATATAATATATAACAAATAATATTATATGCATGACACAGAGATATTTTGCTTACTAACTTCAGCATGAAAGATGTCAGCTCAAAAGGTAAAGCCACACCTCCATATCTGCCCCTCCTGGATCCACCTATCACATGTACTGCCTGTGCCTATACTCGATTGTACATAAAACACTGTAGGATGTGTACTGCTGTGTGTTGCACCATAATCTTACTGCCAACAAGCATGCCTTAACATGTCTTAGATTTATGACTTGGACTGTAATCAAAGAGTCACATTCTTGTCATACCAATCTACATTGTTCTCACCTTGTTCTCACAGTTTCACAGACTGATACTTATTAATGCGTGTGTGCATTAGGCTTGGTTCTGCTTTCAGGGACATACTGTTAGCATTCCTGCAGGGGTTACTCATGTACCTGTTAAAGGGTGATGCAAAATCATGCCATCTGACTGCATTGACTGCAGCACGCCCTCTCTGTTCGCCATTCATGATGAGGTCAGCGTGGGTCATGTTTAAACTACCTATGGTTGACAAAGGCGTGCCTGAGGAAGTGCATGAGAGAAATTATATTTACTCTTCACTGTGCGTTGACACCGAAGTTCACTTTTATACTAGATTGTTCTCATAGGCTAGTAAACGTTCTGTAGGATTGTACAGTACAGTGTGTTGGGTTCGTTTTTTTAAGTGGAGTTTTGCTCAACTTGAGCTTGACTGTCGTATTGCTGTTGAGTTTTTTTTTTTTCACTGTTTGTTACAGATATGAGTCAAACATCAAATTATGTGGCTTGTATGCAGTTATTTTTCTAAGCAATCATTTTTTACAGAATAGTAAAAGTCCAGTTGTTAGTTCGATAATTAATAATAAAGCAATATAACTACTGGAGAAATTGTAATCATTATTATTATTATTATTATTATTATTATTATTAATGATGTTGTTTATCATAGATTTGTGCATATATGAGGTGTTTTTGTGGGTGTTTTTGGGTATCTGTGTCAAGTGAGTTCTGGACTCGACTTGTCATGTGCCGCGTCACTGTTTGTGATAACCTCTCTGCTCTGGAACTGCTGGTCTGTTATCAGCCCCCACCACTCCCATCACCCCTCCCTCACACTTACGAAATCAATTCCTACGAATTTCATCTTGTTCCTATGTAAATCACTCTGCTTTTTTACTTCACTGCACACATCTATGCAACGGACATCTCCTTGACTACACCTGTCACACATTTCATATCCAAACACTCTCCACCTACTTGACTGTCTCTTACAGGTGCATCTCAATAAATAAGAATGTCGTGGAGAAGTTCATTTATTTCAGTAATTCAACTCAAATTTGAGTTGAATTACTGAAATAAATGAAAAAAAAACTTTTCCACGACATTCTAATTTGAGATGCACCTGTACTTCCTTCTCCTCATCCAGCTCTTTCAGGCTCTTTGTCAGTTAAAACAAAGTACCTGTCAATAAATTTGACCGTTCCACCCCAGATTATATAACCGAGGCTTATCAGTTGTATTTCGATTGTCCATTGTCCTTCCATCAGACACTCATATGACGACATCTAGCTGTTGCTTTTTTGTATTATTGCACGTTATATTTTTAGTGCATTGATGTAAAGATATTTGTAATGATTAACAATTCACAATCCATCTCAGATTCTATGAAACATGAGTTTAGTGTAGTTGCTAGAATAGATTATGATGAGTATTAATATGCAGAACTATGGTGACAAAGCACTGGAGCTATGGCCTAGTGGTTAAAGGGTTAGTTCACCCAAAAATGAAAATTCTGTCATTAATTACTCGCCCTCATGTCGTTCCAAACCCATAAGACCTTCGTTCATCTTCAGAACACAAATTAAGATATTTTTGATGAAATCCGAGAGCTCTCAGATCCTGCGTAGACAGCAATGCAACTGAAATGTTCCCACACCCAGAAACGTAGAAAGGACATCGTTAAAATAGTCCATGTGACATCAGTGGTTAAACCGTAATTTTTACGAAGCTGCGAGAATACTTTTTGTGCGCAAAAAAAACAAAAACAAAACAAAAATAACTTTATTCAACAATTCTTCTCCTTCGCGTCACCCTAGGACGCACGCCATTATAGATTATCACGACACATGCGCGTACGTTCCTTTGCATGTAAACAAGGCTTAGCGTTGTTTATGTGCAGAGGTACTCTTGATAATGGCGGAAGACGTGATTTGGAGGAGAAGAAATGTTAAAGTTGTTATTTTTGTTTTCTTTGCGCACAAAAAGCGTTCTCGCTGCTTTGTAAAATTACGGTTGAACCACTGATGTCACATGGACTGTTTTAACGATGTCCTTACTACGTTTCTGGGCCTGGGAACATTTGCATTGTTGTCTATGCCAGTGTTTCCCAACCGGGGTGCCGCGGCAATATTTTTAAATTGCTAAAATGTTCAAAAATGTGCTATTATATAATACCCATTTCTGATGTCGCCAATAATTAGAGATGTTTTCATTTTGGGTGAACTAACAATTTAACACATTCTCTGATTTACTGAACTGCTATGCATATGAAACTATATGCAGAGTTTTGAGTCAAGCCTGTGTCACAAGACTCCCATATCCTCTTCTCCCCATCATTTCTTTTCCATCTCCTGATTGTGCTTTTTAATTAGCAATAGCTGATAACTGGTTAATATATTTGGTCTGCTTGGCCATATACCAAAGTTTGTTCTCAGTGTTTTATAATATATTTTCAAATTTTAACTTGTATAATAGTATCACAGACTAAAAATATATCAGTATTACACCAGCCATCAGCCACCTGCCCCTTTTTACTCTGAAAAATCCCAAAATAAACAGTCAAATAAACTTCTTCCTGCTACATGCTGTGACATCTCCTCCCGTTTTGTTTCATTGTAAAGAGAAACGCTGATAAATTACTGATAAGTGTTGAGACAGTGCACGTTTTGAACTCGTCGGATGGTTTCATTTAAGTCCTCCACATTCTTCTTCCCATATTTTCAAGCTTGTGTAGATAACTAGGGCAAAGGGAAAGACTGGAGGATGACATCAGTCTTCTTGAGTGGAAAACAGGGGTGGGCGTCTGAGGGTTGTGTGTGTGTGTGTGTGTGTGTGTGTGTGTTGTAATTGGCTACATGCACAGAATATTTTCGGCTTGATCACTGCATTGCTCTAATACCTTTGACAAAAATTCGATACCAGTGAAACAAATTGTATTGTCTCTGAATCCGAAGATCCAACTGAGAAAACGTTGAAGAAAAAAAATGCTTCTGTCCTAACAGAAATTGTCTGGGTTATATGGAAGCATACATGTTTATGAGTCATATTAGATTTTTACTGCAGTGCTTCGGTTGAGTTATTTCAGCCTCCGTCTGGAGTTGGTGTGCTCTAATTCTGTGTGTTCCCTGAGGAAACAGGTTACGTTATAAAGCCTGAAATCCCCTTTCAGCTTTTCAGATAAAATTGGGCTTGCTACAGAATCCTGCTGAGAAATGAGGTTAGTGAAGTCTTAGAAACAGGCATGGTAAATCTCGCCCCCTGGTGGTCATTGTATGAACTCACTGTGCACGCAAACTTGTCACAGGAAGGGTGGGATTATTGGAGGGCCTGGGGGGGAGGGGCACTGAAGGAGTTCAACGGTTGGCTGAAATGAGCTTGTCAGTTATTGGATGGTTGAGTGTGGTAATATTTTCCTCCTATGAATAGCTTGTGACAGTATTTGTTACAGTGCTTAAATGTTACCTTCACTGTACTACTGATGGGGCCGTGGTAATTGTTTATTTCAAGTAATTATTATAATTTATATGTGTTCATGTTTTTATAAAATTTACTGGTTTATGAGTCTGTTCCTATAGAAATAAATCTCATTCTAAGCTGTTTTTTGTGTGTGTGTGTGTGTGTGTGTGTGTGTGTGTGTGGGTGTGTGTGTGTGTGTGTGTGTGTGTG